CACCCCCACTCCACGCATGGAACTCTTTCTTGTGATAGAAATGACATTTTAGGAATGCATTGGAGTGTGTGGGCCAAGGTGACCCCTAGTCAATGTCAGAGGTGTGATTCAGTCCCAGGTCTGTCTGGCCAAAGCCAGGTGGCCGCCTGGAGGGCCTAGTCAGGTGCAGAAGAGAAGGGCAGCCCAGAGAGGCCCGTAGTGCTTGATGCCCAGGTTGGGGGCCTGCGCCGAGGGGTGGGTAAAGTTTCCACCCAAACAGTCTCTGGAGGAGAGAGACTCCTCCTCAGTTAAATCTAGACCTGCCTGAGGCCTGGAAAGGGCAGGAGCTCTGCCCTCAGGCTCTGGGGCAGGCACCCCTTGGGCTAAGGGAGCCACCAGCAGGGGCAGCAGCACCAGGGCCTGGGCCCCGAGCCCTCGTCCAGCAGCTCACCAGTCACTTCCTGGCCCTCACAAAACAGCATTCACGATGTCCTTGGAAAAGCAGAGTGTGGCACAAATATGAGGTGCTGTGAGGGCCGCCTTGGGGAGATTGGGGCGGGGCAGGCTCTGCTGGCATGGGGGGTGGGGGGGCTATGGCCTCCAGGGAAGGAGGTCTGTTTCCAGAAACAGCGACATTGTCACTTAGGAGTGGCATAGGGGCCCTGCCCTGCTACCTCCCACACCCCTGTCCTCACTAGAGCGGCCAGGCCTTTTTCCTTTCCTGGGCGATGGGAGGTTTATATCACAGCTTTCTTGTTTGCCTCAAGAAAGCTGGCCCTTTGTGTTACCATCTCCTGAAAACACTGGAGGCTAAAGGCTGAGCCACCAGCCAGGAGACAGGCCCAGGAGGCAGCTTGCCCTCCTCCCAGCCTCTCCAGGGCCTCCCGTTGGCTGACACAACGCAGCAGTAAATGGCAAGCCTGGGAGGTGCAGTCCTTGGGGGCAGGGGCAGGGGCATGAGGCCTGCGGAGATGGGCGCAGACAGATCAGCCCAACATCTCTGGGAAGTGCTGTGCACAGCACACCCGAGGGGCACCGCAACCCCGGGGCCTGAAGCAGGGGTAGGGTGGGGACAGGAATGTCCCAGAGAAGGACAACACAGCAGCGAAGGCAGGGAGGGCAGGCGTGCACGGTGCCCTGTGCGAGTCTCACCTGCCTCCTCTGCCTGCAGTCTCCGTGAGCATCAACAACCTGTACCCGGGCTGCGAGAACGTGAGCGTGAGGAGCCGCAGCATGATGTTCGAGCCTGGCCTCACCAAGGGGGTGCTGGAGGTGTTCGTGGCCCCGTCCCACCACCCGCACTGCTCCGCCGATGACCAGTCCACGAAGGCCATCGACATCCAGAACGCCTATCTGAACGGTACGTCCTGCCCACCGCAGAGGGGAGGGCCTCCAGCAGCCCTTTGCCAGGGCTTTGAGTGATCCCCTTGGGGAGCCTGGCCCGGGGGCACCCGTCCCAGCCCCACGGGCGCAGAGGAGGAGCCAGTGCAGTGATGTTGGACGTGACCCAGGACTGAAGCAGGGCTGGTTAATGCCCCTAAAAAGTAAAGCCAAACACCGTGATACCCTCTGCTCCTAATAAAGCACAGGGCACACAGTAGGTGCTTAATAAATGACTGTCAAGTAAATACATTTTTTAATTGATTGATTGATTGATTTGAGAAACATTGATCATTGATCTGTTGTTCCACCTATTTATGCATTCATTGGTGATTCTTGTACGTGCCCTGACTGGGGATTGAACCTGCAGCCTTGGGGTATCAGGTTGACACTCTAACCAACTGAGCTACCCGGCCAGGGCTAATAGACTTTTTAAAGTAGAGCTAAACATGCACTTGGATGGGAAATCTCATAAAATACAATCCCTCTGGCAGCTTGATACCCAATATAGAAGAATTCGTTTTAAACGCATCTACACTCGTCCCTAATGCTCTGATGCAGACACAGGCAGTCTCCTTTCATAAGTCACACTTCAAGTGTGTTCTTTGCCGCCGGACATTTCCATACATTTGTTAAAGTAGAGCTAAACATGCACTTGGATGGGAAATCTCATAAAATACAATCCCTCTGGCAGCTTGATACCCAATATAGAAGAATTCGTTTTAAACGCATCTACACTCGTCCCTAATGCTCTGATGCAGACACAGGCAGTCTCCTTTCATAAGTCACACTTCAAGTGTGTTCTTTGCCGCCGGACATTTCCAAGGAGGTGAAGCTTCCCAGGTTGCCGGGATGGTTTGCTTCCTCCAGCCACCGCCTCTTCCCGGTGGCACCCCGGGCTCGAGCCCCAGCCGCGGGGACACGGCGCCCGCTTGTGGAGACCCGGTTTACAACAACGATGCAGCCGTTTCTCTGCGATTCAGTTCCCTCACTCCTGAGGGTTTTATGAGCTGATGTTTATGAAAGGCCCTGGTAGAGCATCTGGCACAGGCAGGCAGGGACTCAGAAAATGGCGACCGGGAGCCTCTTCGTGGAGGCCCTTACATTATCCCGAACCCGGTGAGAAACAGAATTCAAGTCCATCACAGTTTGCTCCCTTTACAGTTGAATGTTCTAGCGAAGCTGGCCCTGCAGCATAGAGAAAGGGGACGGGCGTCCTCCGCACTTACCAGCTCTGCCCCTATTCCTGCTCTGCACAGGCCTCCTCCCCACCCCCGGCCTGCCTCCCAGGGCTCCAGGCCTCTCTCTGTGTTCCAGAACCTTGCACACAGGCCTTAGCTGCCAGAACTTGCGTGCCTGTGCTCCAGGGGGAGGCTCTAGAAAAGCCCTGGGGATCTTCCAAAATGCATACGTCATATAGATATGTCCGTGTTACATACATAGATCTACACTTAACACATTGCGGATCAGTAGTTTCACTGCTAGCTTTACCCAGTGGCCAGGTAAGTTTCTATTGAAGGAGTTACAAAAAACATTTTACATAAATGTTAAAGGCACGCTTTAAAATTAAATACTCATTGCATTTTGAAGGTATTACATGTTCTTACAAGCTAATATCTTTCTAAAGAATCGTCGTGATTGGCCACAAGCCTTAGAACAGAAAACACGATAATTCTCGTGATCTGTCCACAGTGTGTTAAGTAGATGCCTAGATCCACGGATGAATGCTGTGGATGGCACTGCCCCTGCTGGCAACCTTCACCTGCTAGAAAAACTGCGCCTGAAATTGGGTGGTGGCCTTTCCCGGCCGTCATCTCTGTTTTTCTCCGTAGGGGTTGGCGATTTCAGCGTGTGGGAGTTCTCTGGAAACCCTGTCTACTTCTGCTCATACGATTATTTTGCTGCAAATGACCCCACGTCAATCCACGTCATCGTTTTCAGTCTAGAAGAACCCTATGAGATCCAGCTGAACCAGGTGGTTTTCTGGCTCAGTTTCCTGAAGTCTCTTGTGCCGGTTGAGGAGCCCATAGGTGAGCGGAGACACCCCTGGGCCAGCGAGCAGCCTTCGCTGGCCTTGCTGCCCGCCAGGCTCGGCTCCGACCGCTGGTGGCTCACGGCGGAGCTCCCTGCGCCCCTCCTCCCTGCAGGGAGGTCTGCACTCTGGCGGTTCCGGTTCCGAGGGCCAGCTGTTCATTTCGTGCTGCAGGGAGTTGTCTCATGATCACGTGTTTCTGCCCCCAGGGCCTGATTCTGAGCTTTTTCCTTGAGGGCCGTTTCTCTCTCTCTTTCTCTGTTTTGGGGCTGTGGGCACTTCTGCTGGGTGCAAAGTGGAATACCGCCTTCAACAGCTCCTGCACCTCTGCCTCTTGGGTACATAATTCATAAGCGGAACGCGCTCTCCTGCCTTCTGTGGCTCCCTCACACGCAGGGAAGGGACCGTGTTGACCGGGTGCATTGACTTTATTCTCGAGGGGAAGACGGCGTGTCCTCTTCCTACAACAGAAGCAGCAGCCTTCTCTGTGAAATACAAAACTCAGATAGTCATTTTTACTTTGAAAAGCACACACAGAACCAGATACACTGAGCTTCACCCCCACGGGGCACTTTATCTCTTTGTTTCTCTCTCTCTTTTTCTTTTATCCATGTTTTTGTCTTAAACACTCCCAGAAGCGAGAGGCCGTCTGTGTGAACTGCAGTTTCCCTTTTAGGTCATTTCTGCATCCAGGGGCTTTCTTTGGTCTTATTAAGGGTGACCCGGGTCAGAGGTTAGATCTCCCTTCACCCTGCAAGCCGGGCCCATCTGGAGATAGATTTGAGAAGCTGCCTTGTGTTCTGTGGTCGGTTCTGGCCCATTTCTGAGCATCTTTCCGCCAGGCCCGGAAAACAGGCTCATTCTGTTACCGGCAGCCCACGGCCCAGAGGTTACAGTGCACAGCAGGCTGTGGCCTTGTGTCCTCAGGCAGGTGGCACATCCTCCTGGAGAGAGGGGGGAGTGAGGCCAGCTCACCCCACCGCACCTGGGGGGAGAGGCAGCCAGGAAGGGGGCCCGCCTCTGAACCTGTGCTCTCCCCCCCAGCCTTCGGCGGCAAGCTGAAGAACCCACTTCGCGTCGTCCTGGTGGCCACGCACGCCGACATCATGAACGTTCCCCGTCCAGCCGGAGGCGAGTTTGGATACGACAAAGACACGGCTCTGTTGAGAGAGATCAGGAACAGGTGAGGAAGGGGCAGCCACGGGTCCGCGGGGCTGATACAGCCGGAGGCCTGTGACCGAGGGAGAGGAGTTAGAGAAGTAAAGGCCTTTTTCCTTGGTGGCCCTTTGGTTGTATTTTTCATTCTTACCAAAGCAGTGAATACACATATTACAAATCAAACAAGAAAATAACAGAATAAAAGGCAACAGGCTTCTCACTTCTTTCAGCACCTCCTGGTACCGCTGCCTTTAGTTGTTTTATGTGGGGGTTTTTCCCAGTTTATTGAGGCATCATTGACAGATACGATTGTAAGATATTTAAAGTATACATTGTGGTGATGTGACACGTATTTACATTGTGAAAGGATTCCCACCACCTAGTGAATTAAAACATCATCATTTTCATCTCTCTCTCTTTAATATGTATTTTTATTGATTTCAGAGAGGAAGGGAGAGGGAGAGAGAGGGAAACATCAATGATGAGAGAGAATCATGGATCAGCTGCCTCCTGCACACCCCACACTGGGGATCAAGCCTGCAACCCAGACATGTGCCCTTGACCGGAATTGAACCCAGGACCTTTTAATCCGATAAGGCCAGTGCTTTATCCACTGAGCCAAATGAGCTAGGTCTCTCTCTTTTTGATGAGAACATTTAAGTTCTACTCTGTTAGGAAATTCTAACCGTAAAATGCAGTGTTGTCAACTAAGGTCACCATGTTATACCTTAGATCCTTAGTTCTTTTAGTTGTCTGAGCTGTCAGGGGTTTTATGACTATCTAATGATACCACTGATCAATATTTATCAAAATACTGGGTTATGCCCTAACCGGATTGGCTTAGTGAATGGAGCATCGGCCTGCGGACTGGGGGTCCCGGGTTCAATTCCAGTCGAGGGCATGTACCTCGGTTGCGGGCATATCCCCAGTCGGGGGTGTGCGGGAGGCATCTGATTGATGCTTCTCTCTCATCAATGTTTCTAGCTCTCTATCCCTCTCCCTTCCTCTCTGCTAAAAAATCAATAAAATATATATTTTTTAAAAAAATACTGGGTTATGAAATTCACTCAGGGGGTCCTGACCAACTCTCTGAAATGGGGTGGGGAGGAGTCCGACAGAGAATAGCAGAATGCACTTACCATCCAGTCGTTTTGCAAAGCTTTTGTTTCCCTTATAAATATGGATGCGCCCAGGGTCCCCTGTTAAAAATACAGAGCAGGGCAAAAGTCGGCCTACAGTTGTTCATATGGAAAATAATACAGCAATTAGTAAATAATAATAATGCAAGAATAAACTCTGTGTTTTGCACTCACAGCTGTAAACCTACCTTTTTTTCTACTTAGTACCTGTCAACAGAAAACTTGAACCTGCAGCTCTGTGCAGTGTGCTAGTAACTCCACTCCTCTCAACTGAAGACATTACCTCTTTTCTTCCTGATGTGAAAATAGGGCTTCTGCTAACG